TCCAGGCGTGCGTGGCTGTGACGTATGTCCCCGTGAAAATTTTTGGCAGAAAAATTGCTAACTCAAGAACCAGAAAATTTGGAAAGTTGAAGTTTCAACGGAATGTCCACTGTCCAAATACTGCGTAGACTGTTAGCCTCCCGGACATCGAGGATCAGCATATCACACATTTCTATCTACTGGGTTTCCGAGCGATCACATTACAGTACGAAATACTGCAAAAACGCATGATCGCACGGGCCCACCCGGTGCGCGTCGCCAATGATTTGAAATGTATCTAGACGAACAGGTGATTTTTTGGCGTATTATCAATATGCAGGGGCACCGTTCTCTCCTACAGTGTTTTGCATAGGGTACCAGTAGCTCTACTGAAAAATGGAAAGGGTGATCTTAACTAAGGGCGCTGAAATAATCCCTGGAAATAATGTAAATAAAAGTTTTTTGGAAAATCAGCAGGAACGGAAACTGGCACCACTTGGATGTCATTACATGTGCCTACGCCAAAACGACGTTAATACTCACATTTTAATGAAAAAATTTAAGAGGGCGAAAAACGTTTCATGAAAGTGACATACGAGACCCTGGAAATAAAAAGCGAAGGATTCCCCCGAAATACCCCGAAACATAACTAACATGTAAAAACCACGAGTTTTCAGCGTGTTAAATAATAAATTACTAAAAAAACAAATAGCGAAAATAATACAAGATAACAGGTGAGGTTTTTGCCGCCAGCTTTGGCAACGCGACCTAACTTGCGCATCGTTGAACCGAGTAGGCCTTTTGAAGCATCAAAATCACCCTCCATATCACCGAGCAAACGATTCTGCTCCCGCACATCGTCACCAATCGCTATTGTTATCTTCTTCAGCGCTGCCACTTTTCCAGACAGCTTCTCAACAAGCTCATCATTGCGACGCTCCATGAATGCTCCACTGTTATCACCCATATCATTACTGCTACTTCCACGGTATGTCATAAGCGTCAATAATCCGTTCCAAATGCAACCTAAAAATGCCGCAGCCGATTGTCACTGCTAGTTCTCAACTTACTTAAGCAGTTGATCGCTACCTCCTGTTTATTACCCTGCGCTAAACAGATGGCTTTAAAGAACTCCCAGTTAATCTTATCCCCACTGCATCATCCTATGCTTTTGGTTGTTTCCGTCCTGGGCCAAATTTTACACGACAATTCTTTTCCCCTTTATCATAGTACATCAGCGCATCATCGTGGTGTGCTTCGCAACCTTCTCCGGCCTTTCCTTCTCCGTGCTATCCGCGCGCTTTTCCCGTCTCTTCAACGTTTTTCTCTCCAAAATATTCCCCGTTGCCTCACAAAATTACCACGTAATGATGCCCCAATTTGTGATGGATGATGAGATCCTCACATCATTTTATAAGTGATTAGATTCCCACACACCCTCATAAAGCCTACCTCGCAACCACAACAACCAAAAGTCTGTTTCTGCTTCCGCGTAGCCAGGCCAACTTTACTTTGCCAATCTGTGCATTTGGTAAACGTCTTCTTTGAGCTTTTCACTTATCAAAAATTATTCCTGAAATTCACCATTATATTACGCCCATGAACAATTTGCGTGGGCTAGCACTTCCTTAAGAATTGTAACAGATCGGTAAAAATGTATGACGTCTGCACGCGCATGATCAGCAATAGCGAACCAGTGGTAAACGAACGTTTATTTTCATAACAACAATTACAAATGGAAAATTTCAGGATCGATCCCAAAAAATGAACCAATGCGTATAAATAATTCAAAAAAGTGCCAGAAAACATGCCCCAACAGTACAGCACAAGGCCACCGGTTTGCAAATTCACATTTTTTTTTTCCAGACTAAAATCTTTTGTTCCCGTCTCGAACACATCGGGAATTTTTCAAAAACAGTGCATCCGGATAAAAAGCAACGAGCTCCAACAACAAACTTAAAATTATCTCTGCTAAAACATGATTTAATAAAAACCGCGTCTGTTAAAATATGATAAAAAGCCCTAACTGTTTAACAGCAACGGACGGCTGCCGAAACAACACATTCCTAAATGGACCGATCACAGATGAACTAGGCTTAATACACCAAGTAAACTTAAGCAATAATTTTACTAAAAGGAAAGAAAGAAAAAACAATCCAGCACACATACATTTTGAGTTTCAACAGTAAAACTCTGATAACAGCAAACAACGAAAATCAAAACTTCGCCTGCTAGACAGACCACCGATGCTTCTACTTTTTTTTTTTTAAGTTTATTTTAAAACAAAACACTGCGTACACTCAAAGAGCATATATTATAGTAT